TTCCCCGACCACCCAGCGAGACAACCATTTTTTTTATAGCAAAAAATTGAACAACAACACTTACATATGTTTACAAATCAGTTAAGCTTGGCCAAAAAAAATAACTGGTATTTGTCAAATTGTACAGAAACATACCTGTAGTCTGTTAACATTAATTAATTATTACAAAAATATATTGTTACAAAGATATAGTATATGGGAGAGGCTTTTAATCAGAGAATATAGAAAAGATAAGTAAACAATATTAATCAAAAAACTACAATATAGAGAACATTTTTACAAAAATTAATAATTAAGTACGCTAAGATATATATCTACCAATTATATCATTATCCTTGCATTGAATTTAGTTTGGTTTTATTCATTGCCAATTAAAATAGATAATAAAACTATGAACCATTTTAAAGGCTTTTTAATGAACCCTAGAAATACAATATAAGGTTGTTAGATGCTAAATTATAAACAATCTTTACACTAAGGATTTTTTAGAAAGGTTACTCATTTAATAAAAACAGTGTAGCAGTGTTTTTATTTATAAATGGTTTCTCATACTTTAAATCAATCTAGCTGTCATGTTTGAAATAACCATTCAAGAATGCATGTCCCTAGATGACACCATTACTGTACATCTTTAGAGTGGATACTGTATATAATCATTATATATTTAAACTGGGAAGGAAACTATTGATTCCAAATATAGATATGATGAGTTATTCAAAGAAACGAATGACAATACTTATTATTTCTTTTTCGATTTTTGATTACAAAATTTCTATTTTTATTTATCTTTAAATTAGGATGACATCTTGTAATTTGAAATTGGTCCAATTGAAATACTTCCTTGAAATACAGAAGATAAATTGAATCATGATATTAATGTAACAGTTAATGAGTAAGATGATGTGAAAATTAACGATATGAAATTAAAACCGGTAGAATTTATGAATCATTAGATAGTCATATGATCAAAATTTTAAAAAATAATAAAAGAATGAATATATATATATTATAGAATTTTAATTTTGGTTAAATATTGTAGATTCACACGTTCTGGTAGTAATAACATGTTGCCCTTATATTCATTAATCTCTAATGTGAAACGCTTAGAGGCTTTGTGCATGAAGCGCTATATAAGAACGACATATTATTATTATTTTTATTTTGTGAAGAAATACCTTCATTAAACAAATATTGCTTTATTAAGAACAGCCCTCCAAAAAATAATAGAAGAACTGTCCTTCGCAGTGCACTGTAGAAATTTTTCCTAAAATCATGTAACTTTTTGTAGTTCCTGACTAAAACAATGCTGTATCTTAAAAAAATAAAATATGCGGATTCTGGAACTTCCAATCATTGCCAATTAATAATCATTATAAAACGCTTGATAATGTTTAACTTTTATTAATCATTGAATTACATTTTAGTTGCTATACAAAATAATGCAATAGGAACACTTTTAATAACTTTTTTGCATGTGCGAAGGCCTGAAAAAAAAAAAGTTTTAAATAATTTCTAAAATACATCGTTTTTGGTTCCTATTAACAATCTTTTTTCCATGAATCGATAAACCCCAAAGAGAAAGGGGGTCCGGGTTCGCCCCATGAGTTGAAGATATGATTTTTATAGATCATTATGACTGATCAGACATTGTGATGTCATCATATTGCCATGTGAATTTTAAAAACTGAATATGTCGGAATCATGTTGAAATTGTGGCTATATACCAACTCCCCTTTTTTCAGCTTTACGTGCAAAGTCTATGGGGATGGTACTTTAGTCTAGTAAAACATTTGTCTAGCTTGCCTGTGTCCAGTTCGAAATGGTTAGGGGACAATTTTTTTTTTCTGTTTTGCTTTCTTTTGCCGGACAAGTGGATCACCTAACTCGTCCTAGTGACGAGTTCAATCTAGTTATTATTATAATAGTGTACCACAAACACTTCGATACCTTATACAGATTGTGAAAAGTGATATATAAATCTTGAACAACATATTGGTGGAGCTGCTTTAATAGCTCAGTCAGCTAAAGTGGTAGTAGCGAACCTTTGGTACCCGGTTTATCTACTGCTCTCCTTATGTTACCAAACTCATTTATTATTTACTATTTACTGTATACTGCCTCTGTATTAGTAGAAACTTCCTACAGATGCTATCAGTCCTTCATTTGAAGCCACTTACGAGCATCTTGTCTCTTGCGAGCATCCTTAGCTGCCCCAGTTTATTGCCTGTTCTGAGAGCTCCCATCTGTGCCTCTGTGAGGTCTGCTCGGTGCATGCTGAGTAAGTTTGTACAATGACGCCCTCTGTGAGCTTGGTACTTGTTGAATCCAACTATACCATTTTCTACAGCTCTTTGTGCAGGGGTGTTCTCTGGCATTCGTAGCACATGTCCAAACAGGGACCATCTCAGTTGGGCCACTTTAGTTGATAGAGAAGTAGCGTTGCACATGTTGTACAAGGCATTATTTGAAATAAGGCTGTGTGGCCATCAGTAACCCGTGATAGCACGAAGGTGTTTGCGATGGCAGGCATCGAGTTTATTCATGGCTGCCTTTGGAGCTGTCCAGCTGTTGCAGTTGTACATCATTAATGGTACGCTGGTAGCATTGTATAGACGTAATTATTCTTCAGTGGAATTTGTGACCTGTGGATCCAAATCTTCTGAAAGACTGAAAGGCAATGTTTCCCATGATGCATCGTGTTGTAATATCGGATGAGCTACACAGCATGGAACTGAGGATCTTGCTTTTCCTCCAGTCTTCTTTTCCCCTAAGGAGAGGGCCTTCTTCATCACTTTTCTGCATGTCAGCAAGATATATGTGGATAAACTCAGATTTTGTCTCATTCACAAACAGGTTCGCATCTTTAAATCTTTCTGCAGCTACGGGGAGTAATCTCTCTAGTTGTTCTTTTTCCTCATCAAGAAGTCAACATCATCGGTTTATTTCATCTCCAGAGACATTCTTAGTGTTGTTACAGGAGGGTTTGGTCTGTTGGAATGTTCTCTTACAGATAATAAGGCAGCAGCAAGGTAGAACGTTTCCAAACTTAACAGTAACATTAAAACTAATAAAGATTATATTGGGAAAACAGACAGATGTCTAACAATTAGAATACAAGAACATTCAACAGGACCTAATAGTGTATTTGACCATATAAGCTAATGTAATGGTTTTCAACATATCCTTGCCATGCATAATTTACCTATTAATGGTGATTATGATGATGCACAGGGTTCTAATTATCATTTTTTAATATCCAATAATACTGAAGTTATTGACTTTTCTAGACATTGGTCTTAATTATTATTTAAAGAAGCCCTATGTAGACGCTATAAACCATGTTTAAATACCAGATTAAAAGCATCTAAGAACTTGCATTGTTCAACTAGCCATTAACATCTAGTTTATATATTATTTATTCATTTTAACAATGTGTTCACACTTTATCAACCACCATATTTAATTGAAAATCAGGAATATTGGGTCTCAAAAGAGCTAAGGTGATTAGTTTTTTAATCGGGCAGCATTTATCCTGCAAGCTACTATTGCAAACCCATGATCTCAGGGCACCACCAAAAGTAAAGTAAGCTTCTTATTTCTGTTGTCTACCATTTCAAATTTCCTGGCTGTAATAAAGATTATATTGGGAAAACAGACAGATGTCTAACAATTAGAATAAAATAACATTCAACAGGACCTTAAATTAGTGTTATATTTTGACCACAATAAGTTCATGTGATGGTTTTCAACATATCCTAGCCATGTATAATTTACCTATTAATGGTGATCTAATATGATGCTGCTCAGGGTTCTAATTATCATTCTTTAATATCCAATATTACTGAAGTTATTGACTTTTCTAGACATTGGTCTGAATTATTATTTAAAGAAGCCCTAGGTAGACGCTATAAACCATGTTTAAATACCGGATTAAAAGCATCTAAAGAACTTGCATTGTTCAACTAGCCATTAACATCTAGTTTATATATTATTTATTCATTTTAACAATGTGGTTCACACTTTATCAAGATTGATTTTGTTTTAATGTATGCTGTTAATACATTAATAATATGTCACACCTGTTTGACTTAATTGGTTAATTTTACCGGTTTCTCGCTTTTGATTGGTTAGTTACTTCAATTCTGGTATGTGGTCCCTATGGACAAAATTATTTTTCATTCCTGTTGATATTTGAATAAAGAACAAAATATTGAATCATGGCTTCTCTTTGTCGTTTTGGATGTTATATTATCTAAATATAATCAGTGGGCCACTTGGTTTTTTTAACAGTAATATTCCGCCTAGTTTACACTGTTCTATTGTGACTAATGAATACCAGTCTGTAAATGAGAATGTAAATATATTTAATATTTTTCTGATTTTTAGTAATGTAATTACCATTACTATTTTTTATTACTATTGTTATTGTCACTTTTGTTTTTGATGCTACTGAATCTATGTTAATATTTTCATTAATTTACAGTATAATAAGTGATTTTATATCTTCTACTCTTTTCTAAATGACCTTTCAGTATTACTTTGCCATTCTAGTTTTGTTTGATTTTTGTAGCTCATTCACTCTGATGCAATATGCTTCATGATCCTGTGTGAGCTTTTAGATGATTCAATACAACATCCACATCTACACAAAGGCTTGCTTTGTTAGAAACTGAAACTTAACTAGGTTATTCCAAAGGAAAGAATAGCACTTAGTAGTAGTAGTTTAGAATTGAACTACTGGTACATGCTTCCTCTGTTCTCCAAATTTGTTTGTTAACTTAAGCTTTTACTTTCCAGACAGTAGTGCAATCAAATAACATCCCATAGTAGTAGCTGACAAGTGATTCATGGTTTATTTTTAGACTGATTTCCAGAGACTTATGAACTGTCATTAATTTCACCCTCCCAAAGTCTAATTGCTCAAAATTCCTTTTGACAAAAAGAAATGAATGCTTTGAATTTGAAAATGCATTTCTAATTTTCTCGTAATTGCTTCACAGATTTGAAGAACGGGAGGAAACACTAGCAAGAACCCGGAGTACACATGCCATTAAGAGTTCGAAATCACTGAAGCAATCTAAAAAGAGTTACAGCGCCCCCAATCTGTCAATCACACGAGATGACGTCCATGTTTGTATCCTGTGCCTAAGAGCAATAATGAACTTCCAGGTAAAGAGGTCAAACAGATCGTACATTCTTTCGCTTTCATTTGCCGTGCTATCATTGACTCTATTGGGGATTTTACTTTAGAAATATATCTCTTAATTTTCTCATTATTTCATACAAATTGCATATTAAAGTATAATGAAACCAACTTAGACAAAAACTACTGCAGATTTATCTATGCATAAGAGGATTAATTTAGTTTATTTTGGGAAATATGAAGCTTTCACCTAATTGAAGTGATATGCCTTCAACAGTGGGGCGTAGATACTGAACTAGTTTATAAGTCTTTAAATATTCAACTTAAAAAAAATGTGCAACTATTATTTCTTTTACATATTCCACCTTGATTACATAAATGCCATGATATTTTTACATGACTTGTAAATCTAATATTGTATATGGTATTAAAGCATAACAAGAATTGGGTTTATGAGAGCTTCATACTTAAATAGTTTTTCTTACAATCCCAGGGTTTGTTATGTCCAAAAGCAACTACATACCCTGAGTTTAATGTTGGCATTAAGATATAAAGTACCATATCAATCATTTTAAGGTGAATATCAATTTGTATTGGATGTGATTAAAATATAAAACATATTTATATAAAACATACTTTTGCAGGTTTGAATTAGTACTTTATAATAATAGATTTGTAATTATTTTTGGAATTTGATGATTTCTTCTATTTTTCAGTATGGTTTCAACATGGTCATCAATCATAGTCAATGTATCAATGTTATTGCTCTCAGCTTAAATCACCATAGTCCAAGGTACGACCTCATTTAATATTATTATAATGTTTATTCATGTGCAATTACTGACTTCATTTAAATTTTCCCATGTTTGTTGATGTTAAGTGAAAGCATTATTATGTTCAGCATATTTATTCGTACACAATATTAATACTTTATTTATTCAAATAAACGCTCTACTTTAAATAAATGCCTCCCCCCCTCCCCAATCATCCCACAGAATAGAGCCTCATCTGGAATAATGGCCTCTCTCTGGCATTTATTTTTCCCTGAATAAACGCCCCGCCCCCCCCCCCTCCCCAATGACTATAATCAAGTATAAGGGAAGCAACATCATTCTCTATACATTCTATTTATATTCTACTTTATCATTTTTCCCATGATTATGACGTCATTTTGTGATTTGGTTTGTGAAAATATTTTGTAATCGTATACACAATAAATTCTTATTGAATTGAATCATGTTAGTGTGAAAACTTCTCTTATTTCTTTTATTTTCTATGTGAACAATTGATTTTTTAGCTTTTTATCATTGATCATTTTTCTCATAGTGTAAACAGGCCTTAACCATTATTTTCTTCACCTTTTTGTCAAACATGTTTTTGTGTCTTGAAAAATCAGTTGTACATAATATATATATAAAAAATTAAAAAAATTCTTCCATATAATAGTCTCGCTTATCATTGTGTATGGACAAGAATAGCTGTCATCTGACTGAATAGATGTTACATATTGTTACTACATTTAGATTTTGAAAATGGTTCTAAGAATGAGCATGTTTTAATATTTCACGTTTATTCAATGTTTTCACGATAATTTATGTCTTATTTGATCCACAGAACAAAAGCCTTAGTACTGGAATTGTTAGCTGCAGTGTGTCTGGTACAAGGAGGCCATGAAATTATTTTAAGTGCTTTTGATAACTTTAATGTGGTACGTAGCATTAGAAAAGAGAACACCAATCATTATAATTATACTGTATTGGTTTAATATATTATCAAGTTGAGAGATATCAGCTCTTTTTAATTTTGAACAATTATGGCATTAAGAATGGTTGTGATATATGATGATGGTGATGACAGTTAAGATAATAGTAGTAATAATAAGAATAATAATAATAATAATAATAACAATAATTATTATTCTTATTTATGATGTTTTTCAAAAAAGTTGAGCAAAAATAAAAAACAAAATTAAGGAGAAGTGTAAGAAGATATGAAATAGTAAAGTAAACAGCCAACACTCAATAATGACCAAGAACAAAACATTGATAGGATATTAATGTCATAAACATTAATAGCAATTGTAGTTAACTTTCATTTCTAAGTGGAATGTGATTCTGATACAAAAATATTACTCTACTCATCAACAGGTGTTTCATATTAACCAAGACCATCTTTGTCTCCTAGCATTCAACTCATATTTCTTATCTACCGCTGGTTTTATATTCCCGATTCTTCCCTGAAGGCATTGCTTGGAATAATATATGACATTGTTGGCATCTCTGTTCTACTCCACATTTCCATGGCATTCAATACTTGTTTAGACCGTTTCAGAATCCAGCAGTGGATTCAGGGGAAATGTGCCAGAATTCACGGGCTCCCACTACTTCTTTGAAAATTGTTTCAAAAAATGAAGAATAATTTTTTAAATTCCAATTCAATTTATTGGCTATCTAGAAGTGCCATATCATAAATTTTTTTACCATCAGCCCCAACCAAGCTGGGGCTTAGGTGGACTAGAATTTCCATCTGTGAAAGTCCTTCTGTGGATCCCTTTATTCAAAATATTTGAATCCATCACTTAAATCCAGACCATTGTATTCCATCCATTATGTCATGTTGTATCGATAACTAATAGAAAAAAAGTAATGTTGTTTATGTAAACACTACTCAGCGATTAGGATATATGTGAGCTTAGCTATCCATTACAATCTCTTCCCTTTGAGAATTACGAAATGACTAAAAGGCATCATGTCAATGACTGGATAATGTGATGCAAGGCGTGTACTGTCTCTTCTAATCTAATTGATTTTTTTTATTTGGATTTCTTTATTATTAAGTGATGCACTATGCACACCATTATGTTTTGTGTGACAACAATCTGTGGTTTTCCCACTATATGGTGACGAAAATTTGTGGTTTGCTCATATATGGTGACCAGAATCTGTCGTTTGCCCATATATGATGACAAAAATCTTTATTAAGCAATAAATGGTTTTCATTAAATTTTTGAGTGTTTTTCAGATATTGATTTCCATGTTCTGCTCAGAGGATAGCATTTAAACAATGATAATCTGCTCCTTAAATGTCTAGTCTTTTCAATATCTTTATCTTATACAGGATTGCCACTTTGAAGTTGAATACAAAAAATAATAATGATATAATCCCCACTACACTTTAGTTATTCTGTCAGGCATTTGCTATTCGAACCAAGTAATCACTATTCATCATTGTTTTATAAATTGATAGTGAAAACAGAATTAAGGGAACTACAGTTTAATTTTGTTGCTTCATGTACTGTACTCAGTAGAATAATAATGAACGATAAAATAATAATTTATAAGTATATACAGTATTTTGACATATATACAGTATACTATAATCCAGGCTATCAAATTATTCTTATTGTTCGAACATGTGGCATGTCTAAATATGGCCATGATGACATTACATCATAGTCATATCATAACTATATATGGGCAATAAACATTTTTTTTTTTGTAAATTAAATACTTCCTCATTTTCAATCAATTTTTCAAAAATACACATAAAATTACGGAAACAAGATGAATAAAGAGAACAATAGACAATTAATTTAGCTAATAACAAGTTTTAAAATGTTGTTTTTGCCAATTCGCTGGCCTTTAGCCATGTTAAATCTGGATGTAGTAATTTATAACTAAGTGTTAACTAAAATGGAATACTACTAATTGATTTTCACAGGTTTGCAGGGAAACAAAACGATTTGAGCGTCTTTTTGAATACTTTAAGAATTATGAAGAAACAAGTATCGACTTTATGGTAAGGATTTTATTCACTTTTGATCCATCCATAATTTGGTTCAATCAATTAAATCCAATATTTCAGCATTTGAATATTGCCGGATTAGATTGGTAATCTGTGTGATTAAAGGATTCAGTATAATCTAGTTATTAATGGATTTGTGGAATTAGCAATGGTGTTGTGAAGAAGGATCTGCAAAGAGTTAAAAAATGGCAGACGGCACTGTAGTAAACATATTTGTTGTTTGTCTCACTGCATAATTCATCATATCATGCATATAATTTATTTTAAATTATGTGCAATTATAATTGCACTTTCATACAAAAATTATAAAATATGGAATTATATATTCATAAAATATTTGTGAATATGTGTCTGGAATTTTTAATATACATTTTTTTAGGTATATTGAAGCCAGGTTCTAGAGAAAAAAAATGTTGTACAAATGATTTTTTAAGACACAAAAAGGGTGTTTCATGAAAAACTGGGATCAGTCAATGAAATACTGATTGTTAAATATTTAAAAACTGGAGAAAGGGGTGTAACTACCTATTTTTTCTACCATTTTTCCCCATGTTTTTAAATATTCACAAATCTATATCTTATTAAACTATTCCTGTGTTTTACATCCTTTTTGTGTCTTAGGAAAATCAGGTGTGCAACATATCAACAAAAATATTTAATCCGTGTCTGGCTTGAAATAATTGTAAATTTAATATCTGAATTTAATCAAAATGAAATTATGAATAAATAAATTAACTAAATAAATAGATATCAAAGTATTATTGTTAAAAGTATGTACATAGTCCCTGATAAAGTTGGATACGTCACTTGAGAATGTGGATTGCTAATCCATGAAACATTGAAAATTTTCGACCAATATTACTGGTTTAACACAAAAGAAAATTGGTATAAAAATGCACAAGAAACCAGATGAATTTATTTCAACGTATGTATTTATTGTTTTATAGTAATATAAAATCTTATATAGAAATATGTAATGTTTTCTTTTCTTTCGTTAACAGGTTGCTTGTATGCAATTTATCAATATTGTCGTACATTCGGTTGATAATATGAACTTCCGGTCTCATCTACAATATGAATTTACCAAGCTGGGTCTTGAAAACTATTTAGAGGTAATTAATTATTAATTGTAGTTTTTGAGATAAGTGTATATATGGGAAGTACATACATATATATTATTGGTACTGTTATTATTGTAACTATTTAAGGAAAACAATACACATTGCATCAATATAGCATTATTTAAAAAAGATCAGAGCAAATTTTTAAATTTTAATAATCTGTAGCATTGAAATGAGGAATAAACAAAACAATGCTGAAAACCAAACACTTCTGCATCGTTCCCCAGCAATAATTTCCGTACTTACTAATTTTTTTTTCTTTTTACAGAAGTTACGCAATACAGAGAGTGATCGTCTTCAGGTGCAAATACAGGCGTACCTGGACAACCACTTTGATGTAAGCAATCTAATGGAAGACTCGGAAACAAAGACGGCTGCCTTGGAACGTGTCGCTGAACTCGAGGATCATATGTATAGGGTAAATTTGACGTATATCAAATAATGCTTTCAGTATCGCTTCACAAACAATACAGCAGATATAAACTTCCAACAGAAAGCTCAGTGTATTAAATTACTTTAAAGTTTATCTCATATTAGTATCCTGTTTTTCCTGGTATAATAGAAATTTAATAATTTAAATCTAAAACAATTTTAAATATAAAATTTTAATTTCAATTTTCATTGAACCATGTTTTCAAAGAATAGGCAATCTGGTTTATGCTGATCACTGCAGCCCTAAAAAATTGGATTGAAGAACAGATCAAATTTCTAATGAAATAGTAGCAGTGATCTCGCCAGATTCAACTCGAACTCTTTAAAAAGAATTCTGGCAAAAGGGTTGTACTAGAATAGAACTTTTTTTGTAAATCAGTGATATTTGATTACTGTAATGATAAACCAGTGGCGGATTTGTAAAAAAAAATGAGAAAAAATGTATAGTTTTATTGTTTATTCATAACCAACAGCTGAGTGAGAAACTACAACAAACTGAAGATGACTGCCTTGCCAAGATTGCTGACTTACAAATTATGTATCAAACAACTTCCAAGGAGTTAAATGAAGTAAAAGTAAGCTGTGGAAAATATAGTGTTTTTTTTTTTGGGAGATTGGGTGATTGGTTGCTAAGAATTTTAGTTATTCGGTGTAAACACCAAGGATAGCCCACGACAATCCCCTACTCATTCCAAAGAGTGTACTGCGTTCTCTAACGTGCACATGGGCCATAAATCCAAACAGAACCAACCTCTTAAATGTCTCATCCGAAAGACAGTGTGCTATTGTAACTTGTATTTCAGCCCTCCAGCTGAAACACAAGGAGTGGCAGCAATGGGAATTGAACCGGTGACCTAGAGATCTTCACGGTTCAGCGCACACACAGTGGCTACCACCAGAGTGAAGTGATGTTGTGCGGTTTAGCTAGTGTGTGGAATATATGTTGGAGTAGATTATTTTTTAGGGATTGCAAGCTGGTTGGGAATGAGACTGATACTTGTGTTTTGAGATGTATGTTGGGCTGGAGCAGGTAATTTAGTGGGGGTGGGGGAAGAGGGTGTGGTTATTTGGGGATTGGTGGGTTGACTTTTCTACTTGGTACATATATTATAAGATTTATATAGCACACATATCCAATTAAGTGCCTTTTTCCCTGGCCATTTGATACACAATCAATCACACACAACGTCCAACTTCCTCCACTCCCTGAAGAGTATTCCTTGTTATGCGTGTAATCAGCACTACTAATTTCATTTCAAATCATCCACTTCCTACCAAATACCCATTTATACTCCTGGGTGAAGAGAGGCAAATGCAGATAAGTGTCTTGCTTAAGGACACAAGCAGTGTAATGATCATCGGTCTTCAACCCACAACCTTCTGATTGCAAGTCCAACCCCTTACGTGCTGCGCCACACACATTTACGTGTGAGATATATAGATTGTTTACTGTTTTCTTTTTTATTAACTAGTACCACAACGAAGAAGCTAATAAAGAAGTCGAGTCTTTGAAACTTGCATTGTCAGAAGCCAAGGTAGCAGCTGCTAGGGCTGTTCAGCTAGGATCTGGCCATGGACCGGGCGGCGGAGGACCAGGTGGTGGAGGGCCGGGTGGTGTAATAACCAATGGAATGGAAGGTTTTGGAGACTTGCCACCTCCGCCGCCACCCCCTCCTTCCGGAAATGCACCAAATGGTAGGTCATTCAACACAGCTTGAACTTTTTCTCTATTATCGTAAAACCTCCAATAGAAGCCCAATGGGCTTAATCTCAAGAAGAAGTCCGTCTCGAATTTTACCCCCTCCCTCCTCTTTAGTTTGCAAAAGTATCCTTGAAAAGAAGCCCTTGGTATTGTTTTCAAGATAGCATAGGCTTCTTTTCGAGATACAGTAGTACAGTACATACACTGTACTTGAATTTCAAAGAAACAAAATTTGTTAAAAACGCGCTCGGTTTAGGACCTACAGTATTTTAATACGCAACATGCTACAGTGGCCCTATTTATTATTTTATAATAGTATTTCCCAAAATTTACAGCTTTCATTTTGAAAAGAACCCCCTTCTTTACTTTGCAAACATAGCCTCAAAAAGAAGCCTATCCAAATTTCACAAAAAAAAAAAAAAAAAGAAGCTCAAGGATTTTATTTAAGATTTTACAGGACATATAATAAATAAATATGAATATTAATTACATATACAAAATTAGAAATAATTTGTATTTTTAACTCATAATCTATTTAATTTCATGATGGACATGGTGTTTCTTTTTCTACTTTTACCTGTGCTCCATATTGATATTAATGGTAGGTTTGGTTTTATGATTTATTAATATCTATATTTTTAGATATTAGTTTACTAATTCTTTGTTATTCTTTCTTTCATTAATATGGAAATAACACATTCGACATGCAATTAATTACAATACAGAGTGTGCACCATTGCAGTTGTCATTCATAAAAGGATCATTTTCATATACTGTACCATCAATTCTCTCATTTGAAAATACTCACCCGTAAATGACCTCTTTCAGGCATATAAGCTGCATATTTTCTGGGTGTTTTTTTATGTTTCTTTTTATAAAAGTGTGGTGTAACTTTTGAAATAGTTAGATTTCATTCATCTTTGCTATCCAGTACTTGTATTTTAGATGTGTATTTATATTTATTGTATTTTTACATTTTTCTGAGTTTTTTTTATATTTTTATAATTCATAAGTCTGTATGTACAGCTTCGTACCTAATTGGAAATGTGCTGGATTCCTGCCCAACATGTGTTCCTGATGCTTCTTGCTTTTAATTGTTGTTCACAAATCAGTTATATTATTGTGTGTGTACAGTATGTGAAGCATCGCATATATTCAGCTGTCAATAGAGATTACACCCTGCTTTGATACTACTGTATCTGTTTCTACAGTATTTGTCTTATACACGAGAATTTACGATGGCCTTGAATTTTGTCCGATGGTGACTAACATTTAAATAGTTTAGTATGGTTATGGGAAATTCAAAATTAACTCAATTCATAAATAAAACTCTTCATTTTTGCTTTTAATTATCTTTTTTTTTTAAATCAAGCTATTTTTTTACATTATCTTATTTACTAATAACTAAAACTATTTTTTCATTTTATCTATTATTATTTAGCTATCTTTATATATTAACTCAATTACTAATACTAATAACTAATGCCTTTGTTATTAATTTTATTTGTAATTTCAAATTAAGCTATATCTTTTGTATCTCAATTACTAATAACTACAACACTTTATTCTTTATTTTGTTTATATTTTAAAAATTATTCTCTTTTTTATATCTCAAGTCATTACATTTAAATAAAACTCTCACTTCTTCATTATATTATCGTTTTTACGATCACTTTTTAATCATGCCTAATTTTTTTGATCTACAGATCTTCCACTTCCACCCCCTCCACCTGAAGCAGAAGCACCTCCCCCACCACCGCCGCCACCGCCTCCCCCGTCAGGAATTCCTCAACCTCCAGGAATACCTCCTCCACCTCCGGGAGCACCCCCACCGCCTCCAGGTGCACCTCCCCCTCCTCCAGGAGCTCCACCACCACCTGGAATGATTGGCGGAGCACCAATTGGATGTAAGTTTTCAACGTGTTAGTCATTCATTTAAGTAAGATATTTACCTATGAATTTTTATGAGAAAAAAAAGTTTCCTAACCAATAAACCAGGTATATACATTGTGATAATTTTGTATTTTTTGCATAGACTATTAAATTGACTTATATTGATGGTAATGGTAATGGTTGGAGACTTATATAGCGCATAATACATAACTATTTGATTATAAATAAATGTGCAATTCATTGTTTAATGCTCAACTAACATGATACGTTTCCAATGGTACTCAAATGTTAAAGTCTCGTTCAGCCGTTTCCGAGTCTATAAGTGGACAGAGGGTTTTTGCTTGTGTGAATTGATAGCCAGATTGTCTCAGTCCTGTACATTTGTATTCCCTCTCCTTTTTTGTACACGAAGTATGAAACTGTGATGTGTAATTTTTCTGTTGTAGCTGTTACAATCAAAAGAAGAATCAAGACTAAGTATCGTTTACCAGCTCTCAATTGGGTGGCCTTCAAGCCAAACCAAATCAGAGGCACAGTCTTCAGTGAATTAGATGACGATAGAGTTATGAAGGTACCAATTAGCTCTACTTTCTTTACCAGATTGGTAGCACCTCTTAGTATCATAAAGCACACTCCCTGAAAAATAGCGATTACTGCTTAAATTCCTCAATACGATATAAACACTAGTGGTGATGACATTGGGCTACTGTAAAGTCAATTTATTGGTAGCAACCCTCTACTTATTTGCATCATGTTCTAAAGAATTGGGTATTGTAATATAACCAACTGGGTTAGTATTTAAGTAGTAGGTTTAACTATCATTATAGCGGAATTTTCATTGTGAGTTTCAAGTACAGGGTTTGTCACACATAGATTATTGGGTTTTAATTACAAACTAAATATTTCACTTATAGGACTACCAGTGTTCCCCATTGGTTTGTATCTTTAAGTAGCAACATTAAATGATCAAATGGAAATTAAATTGACCTTTTTGGAGTATTAAACATAAACAATTGACCATTCAGAATAGAGCCAAGATTATGCGTTTTCCCCCACAAACGCACATTTTAATTTCCTTCACATTTCCGTTTTGCGGGACCTTGCAACAATATTTGAGCGGCAAATTTGTAATGTGAAACTCTAATTGTATTGTGTTGGGTTTTTTTTATTGTTTCTTTTCTGATACTCACCTAGCTGAGACACAAGATTGCTAAGTTTTGATTGGAGTGAATTGCATTTTTTTTACTGTACATTGCATTACTTATTTTATAGGATATTGATTTTAATCAATTTGAAGAGGTGTTTAAGACAAAGAGCCAAACGCATTCCAAAGATATACCTGATGGCAAGTTGAAGACGTTAAGTCGTAAGGAGAAGACATCGTTGCTAGATGGAAACAGGCTACAGAACCTGGCTATCACACGACGCAAGATCATGCTACGAAACGATCAAATTGTTGCAGCAATTAGAGCGTAAGAACGGCTTAATTGATATATTATTTTCAGATGACTTTTGACGAGTTGATTAACCAAGCAACCTAAACCTATATTATCAGGGCTGTTTAGAGGGGCAAACTCTTATATTTTCCTGGTGGTAAAACAAGTCTTCTCGGATAAGGACTATAAACCGTAGGCCCAGCGTACACAAGGACCCAGTACATCATTTGAGATAAGTAGAGGATACTCTGCTGTACTGGTACAGACAATGAGAGATGCTGATACCGGTTTACCAGGTGGTACAGATACAAAGAAATCAGAGGCGACGCTGCTGGGCGGCTAGGAGGGCTACAGCCCTCACATAGTTGCGATTTTACTTTCCTTGGGCAGAGACCATCGCCAAATCATTAACAAATATTGTTTTAACGTATAAAATGTGGAAAAAAATTAAATAGTATGATGTAGATATGTGAAGTGTAGGTTAGTGCAATAAAATAGATTTCTAAAATTTTGACTTTGCAAAATTTGGCTGTTATCTCAGAAACATGATTTGCAACAAATGACTGGTTTGGATTTTGTTCTCCACATTTTATGTTAAAATTATTTTTTTCTTTCCTCCTTCTTCAGGATGGACTTGCACACTCTGCCATTAGATCAAGTGGAACAGCTGAGTAAATTCATTCCCACAGACCAGGAAATCAAGAGTTACAAACGATACGAAAAAGATCATCTACCACTAGATAAACTAACCAATGAAGATAATTTCATGTTTTCGGTGAGCTTCATCATTTTAATTATTTTAAATCATTTTCATTCATTTTGGGTGTTAGAGGACACCAAACATGTAGATAATGCTTCAGTGAGGGAAGCATCAAGGTTGCCAGATGTGACCTATGTTGTCATAGTTGGATGTAACTGCAGTAGACTTCGGGACCGAAAAAGTGTCCCCTAAATAGGGGTTGGTTGTAGTGTTAAAAGATACATTTCCCTCACTTCACGGCCAAAAAAAGTGTCCCCTAAATAGGGTTCTACTGTATTTATAAACCACTGACAATTAGACCAACCACATGGCCGTGGGATATGGTTGAAACAATAAAAATAAGTGTGATCTGTGGCATGAGATGATTAAGATGAAAAATATAACCTTTTTTTTTACATTTGTCATTTAAAAGAAGTTTACTAAATTTATTATTTCTTTTAGTATGTGTGATGTGGACTATTATTTAAGTTATTTTGTTTAAATGGTTTTTTTTATTGTTCTAATTATGCATTGCACAGCATTTTCCCTCATTTGAATGTATTAGTTATTATATTTTTTTTTATTAAATTGCCTTATGATAATTAATGCTCATTTTGAAATGTAAACTTTTTTAACTTTCTAGTTGTGCCGTCTGGAGCGTCTTCCTCAAAAACTCAGCATCATGATGTATATTGGGAATTTCCTGGATATCATCCATGCCCTGCAACCGGTACGTATCTATCTGCCTTCTATAAGGAAGACTGAAGTTCATGACTATGGGGCTTTCCTGTTACTCGTGTCCTTACGTAAGGCACTTTATCCACCTTACTATGTTTTTCTCTGCCTAGAAGTTTAAATTGGTACCCGATAGACTGTAAATGTTTTAATACAAAAAATATATTTGTCCTTTACAGTAATAATGCACCATAATCTAAAACTGATTATTATGCGTATAGCAATCAGAACCATTTGTATCCTATAAGTTTATTATTATTTATATTTTATTATGTTTTTATATCTTTATTATTAAATAGCTCTGTGATTTGCAAGAAAAGTACAATTTTCAGACAACCAATTTATTTTTGAACAAAATTTCAAATTGCAATTATAAATCCGTAAAATATTTTGTATAGCATTCATTGATTCAACAGAAACAATGATAACACTGGGATTTCTGGCTCACCAAGTCATAGAAGTATTGGCTTCTTCAGAAGTTCCAGGACCCTTTTTTAGACATAATAACCTAATGAAATGGAATAGAATTGGAAATAATCGTGCTTTGTTCTTTTTCAGCAAATACATGCTGTTATATCAGCTTCGATTTCAATTAAGAATTCCAAACTTATCAAGAAAGTGTTAGAGGTAAGCCTTAAGCGCAATTTTTTAGAAACAAACAAATTTTTTTTTTCATCATGCACAAAGCATACACTAGGATGGAGAGGTGTACCAGTGTATGCACCTCTTGTGAAAATGAAAAAAATGATTATTTCAAAGGACAACAATCATCATTTTACTATACAAAGAGTATAGAAAGCACGCTCATTTTGAGTGTCAACAAAATATGGCCATATTCGACTGGTCGTTCTTCGTTAAACCACTGCCACCTGCGCAGTGGTAAAATCCTACTTAACGAAGATGACCAGTCGAATAGAAAACTGGTAAATACTCGACAAAAAAAAAAATGGCTGCATAGTTACCGTGATACACGCTGCGTAATCAAGGCTGCTTCGGATTGTGGCAATATGGGTTTTTCGTAAAAAATGTTTTCATCCAGTTTTTGAATTCTGTTAGCCTTCTGTCACCTGCATAACTTAATGCTGATTTACGCATTCTGGTTACATTAATTTTCGTTGTCAACGAAGTCTATTTTACGAACCAGTTGAATGAAAATAATACTCAACGAAAATTCATACTCAACAAAACGAACCAGTCGAATAAGCTCAAAATGTCTTTATACACAGCTATAAGAAAACACCTGCTGCTTTCGGTTGCCATTTTTACTGTCACCAGTTGTGCCCAGCACAGTTTATTTATTATCTGTGTTCAACATTATTGGATTCCTTTTTAGAGGCCGATAGTTGGATTAATGTTACTACTTTTAGAAATGAATGCGTTTTAATATCTTTCGTGGGAGTGAACTTCCCTGAGACATCCTAATGCAATGGGTACACTTTGTGATGACGATGGCAACTTCCATTGTTACTAGGGGAGTGACGTACAGTAAATACAAATTGAAGTTTTCTCTTTTTCCTTTCTATACTCTTTCGCTTATGTTAATAATATTTGTGTGTTGTTTTTTTTTCCCTTTGCAGTAAAACAATATTACAAAAATGAGCTTATAAAATATATTTTTACTCGTAGGTGATCTTAGCCTTTGGAAACTACCTGAATAGTTCAAAACGAGGAGCAGCGTATGGATTTAAGTTATCTAGCCTTGACACAGTAGGTTTCTTTTTAATTTAAAAAATATTACCGTAGATCCTCGTTTATAAGCTTACCCACTAATTTAAGCCTTCCTTGGAGAAAAGTCGAGGGTATGCTTAGAGACTTTTAAAAATACTAAACAAAAAATGAACTATTGGATTAGGCATGCTGTGATGGAAAATTGCCTTTTGATTGAAAACGGTATTCACCGGGTATATCCTCACCCCTTAAAATCAGCCCAATTTTTTGTGTTGAAGGCGGTTGCCTTATACCAGAGGAACTGTGGTGTTGGTAATTATTATGGATAGGGTTGTAGCTGGGTGGTTTCCATTCTCACCTTACAGTCTCAAGGTCCATGGTTCAAATCCTGCAAGATACAAGATATTTCTCATACTGTAACTAAACAAGTCCATTCTTAAAGCCTCACAGAGGGAGTTAGTTTGTAGAGCATTGCAAGTGACATGTGTTTGCCACTATTTGTTTTGTTTTTTTTGTCATCCTCTATTCCTACAGGTGACAAACATAATGGCATACTATTTTAGAGTCTCTCTTTACTATCTTATCGGAGTAATTTTGCAGTTTATTATTTATTTTAAAGATGTTTTGAATATTATTTCAGCTTTTAGACACAAAATCGACAGACAGGAAAATGACGTTACTACATTTTATCGTTGAAACGATTGACCAAAGATTTCCTGAGTTGCCGGGATTTACAACTGATCTGCAGTATGTACAAAAGGCATCGGCAGGTATTAACTATTTTTTATTTTTAAAATATATATTTTCTTCTAAAGAAACTGCCATCACCCTTTTGTTACAGTGAGGAGGAAGGGAAGTGAGGGAAGGAAGGAAAAAAAAAGCAAGGAAAGTAAATAAAAATAATAATAAGAAATAGAAGAAGAAGATTGTGTAGACATTGAAATCATAAATGCCTTTCCTGAAATCAGATGCCATTTTAGGGGGATTATCAGAGAAGAAAGTTGGAGGTAATATTAAACATACTTCTCTGGAACTCAGCTTAAGAATCATGGCACAAACTAGAAACACATTTGAACATCTGAAACAAAAGCTTGTCATAACAAGCCTAATATGCTAGAAAATGATATAGGGAGGAGGAACTGGACATGTTCCCCAGCTTTTGCCACTGCTTTCTTTCATTTTTTAACAGAAAAAATACTAAATATGTTTAGTAACAGCATATACTGAACATGAATTATACCATTATTGTATACTTAGTTATCTGTATATTTATATTATATTATGAAATTGGTACCCCATGAGTTTAAAAAATTGTTGATCTGTCCCTGTCTGGTGACTAATATCAGAGTGCACCCAACCTGTGACAATGACAACCATTTTTTTTTTCATACAAAATATACTACAATTTATAACAACCATTCCCATCATGTAATTATTTTTTATATTTAGGTGAAAAAAGTATACAGCATTCTTCCTCCTTTTTATTAACACACTATTATGCAATCATTGATTCGGACTAATTAAATTGTTTATTTTTAAGATTTAAATGATATATATATATTTAAAATGTTTTTGGTTTTATTTTTGCAGTTTCATTAGACAATTTAAAAGCTGACATCCATCAGTTGAAACAAGGGATGCAGGAATGTAAGAGGGAGTTCGCTGTCAACAGTGAAAACAGTCTCTTAAGAGACTTCTTAATTAATTCAGAGGAAAAACTCAAAAAAATTGAAATTGAAGGCAATAAAGCTACTGTAAGTTACATTTAATCATTGTTTTATATGATGAGGCAAGTCTTTCGTTATACCTTGTTTAGTGAACCCGCTGACTGCAAACGATGATTTCAAATCAAAATAAAATTTAATTTTTGGCCAATTAGCGCACCCACCGGCAGAAAAAAATAAGTTTTTCTTTATTTTTATTATGCCCTCCACTGCCTTGAAATCTCCAAAGATATATTTCTTCTTAATTATATAATTTGATGCATTTAACAATCCTATTTTACGTTTACCAATAAAAAAAATTTTTTTCCTCCGTCCGGATGATTTTGGCAAAACTTCGCTAAAAAAAAATACAAAATTTATTTTATTTTTATTCCACCCTCCTGCGATAATCTTTAACAAAATAAGTACACGAAACAAGGAATAAAAAAAGTCTCCCCTAATGGTAATGGTAAACCTGAAGCTCTGCTACAAGGCCGGATTGCCAATCTCTCTTTTTCCTTTGCGTTCGGGCGAGACCTCAAGGCTGTGAGGGGGGTTGCCGGTCCTCCCACACCGCAAGTCTGTTTAACATTCATGTACCCATTTACACTCCTGAGAAGAGAGAGACAAACATAGGTATTGTCTTGCATAAGGACACAAGCAACTTACACTCTTGACTACTCTATAAATATGAGTTATCTTTGTTTTATTTTACTGTTCTATAAATAGTTAACTGTGCCAAATAAAATACTTTTGTGCTTACTTTATACATTATGGTTTTTCGTCAATTATAACTCTTCATGGAGTACAGTATTTCAAATTGTGTCTAATTATGGCATAACTACCTGCAAAGTATTATCCCAAGTCATGTATTGGTGTTATAATTAAAATCATTATTTTAATTAAAACTATAATAAAATTAGTTTGAAGCACAGCTTGACCTTTTCAATAAAATTATTAAACTAATTGCCAGATCATGTAAGTACACAACAAAAATATTTAATTTATCATTTACAAAGCAGTTATAAAACTATGTATAAAAATATTATTATAATTAAAATCATTATTCTCATCATTCACTAGAAACCAACTTAGTAACATCAATTTTTATATTGTACACCCAATGTTAGGGTTCAAAACCAAAATATAGACACTAAGTGGTTTATTTTGTTGTATTTTTAGGAAGCATACAGTGAGGTAGTTGTGTATTTTGGTGAAAACCCCAAGATGTGTCCACCTACGGAATTCTTCCCCATGTTCTCACGGTTTGCATCGGCCTACAAGGTAGTTTTTTTACTTCATGATGTGTCGTGTTTATGATTATACGAACGAAAAGTGCTTATAAGCATTTTGTGATGTTTATAAAATTATCAAGAAACCTTGACAATTAAATATAATGTTTATGTTTCAGAGAGCAGAAAAAGAGAATGAACAACGAAAAAAGTTAGCTGTAAGTTTGCTGTCCTTTTTTGTACACACTTTTTAACTCACAGAATTGTATTTGAAATAGTTTAATGGTTAATGGTACTGTACTGTGTTTGTTATTTTTATGTATTTTTTGGGCAAAAAACAATAATGACAATCATTCATTATTATCCTTTAAAAAAATTATTTACAGAAAGCAGCAAATGATACGAAAGCCAATATTGAAGCAGCGAAGAAAGCTCATGCCAATGCAAACAAGAACAGGAAGGGCCAGGTAAAAAATGTAGATTAAATGAAAAAAGCTCTTACTTACATCAATTGTCATTAAACTACATTCAAGGTGTTTTATTTCCTAATACTTGCAATTCGGTTCAATTCATTACTTCAGTGTGCCATCAAGGGCCATTTTCCTCTGACAAACATTACAATACAGTGCACTTCAATAAATTATTTTAAAAAAAGATAGGTATGATTTGTCTGTATAAGTGAGTTAATATTGGTCTACATGTTCAGACCTAAAGGAAGAGGAGATTGTGGAAGGGGTGAATGGAAAGGGAGTATGCAAGGGTAAGAGAATATGCAAGGAATGATGTTTCAAAGTGGGAGGTGCAACAGGGGATAGGAATTAGGGTGTTGCGAAGAGATATATTGCATTGGTGAAAGAAAGTTAGGTGGGAGTAATGGGGATTATTTTCACTCTGTGCTATCTTTCCAAGGCTGCAGAAGAGTGCAAAAGATTTGTTGGGTTTCAAAAGTGAAAATATTAAACTCATTAAATATGGGATGCTAAGCAGAATGTGTAGATAAATCCGACATTTTTTAACCAGAACTATTTAATTGTGAGCAAGAAAGAGTATGGCAACTGATCATGAGACAGATTATTTCTATAGAGCTACATTGAAGATTGGCTTACCAGTGAAGATGTTTGCATTCCAGTCCCAATTATTGCAGTGTCTGGGTTAAGTCCTATCAATACTTTAAAAAAAAAGGAAAATGTTTTTATTGTAGCTAAACCAGAACCAGTGTCACACAGCCTTTCAGAAGCTATTTGACAAAGGGTTAAACACAAACTTACAAGATACACAAAAAATATAACGCTACAAATGATTATCAAAAATATTATTTACGATTTATTTCCAAGAAAGATGCAGCTACCAACCCTGCATTGGGAATTAAAGTTTGAATGCACACCATTAAATAGCAACATTTCCTATTTAATAGTGTGTCATGTTCCATTGCTTTAAATACAAAACAAATGATTTGACTTATTTGTTCAAACAAACAGATTTTTAATCTGTTCGTTAGTAATGAAATAAATAACCAAAAAAATCCCATCAAAATATTTGTCTCTTGTGACAACTAATGGCATGGCTGCTGTTTGCAGTGCCTATGCTGTCGAGCCTGGCAACACAACTCATTCAAGTCTTTAAAAAAAAAAATGCCAATAAATAAAGAATTAATACTGTAGTCATTCAAAAAATATATTCTGAAATTCTATATTTAATCTGGTAGTCAATGGACTGACAAAGGTTCTTGCTTTACTGTCTTTCAGGATGCATTAGTAGCAGAGCTTCAAAATTGTTATGTTAACAAAAAAGAGCTTGGAATTAAACCGGTTTCTGATGGTGCACTAGAAGGTATTATTACAGGTAAGTCTTCACATCCTTGCGATAATCCAAATGTAAATTCATATCAAAATGTCGGATTTAAATGATTCTTTTACCATTATATAACTTTCATTTTACACTGTAACCATCTATTAATAACTATAAATTGATTTTTTTTTTTGCGAGAAATGACTGGTTTGGCTTGTCTACATAACTTAATTGTTTTTGAAGTTTGTAACAATGAAAGGCATTTACTATATTAGTATTTGTATAACATAAGATACTTCCCATTGTTGCTGAAATAATTGGTTACCATTATTTCTTTTCTCTTATACAAGGAAAAAATCATAAAACACTAATTGGGTAACTATGGCTTTTATTTCCAGCACTGTGTGGTAACATAATATATTCCATTATTCAAAATGCAGGCTTGGTCACCTTATAAATATCACATTTTAAAAACAAAGGCTAAATTATTGTCCTTTTTCCAAGAGTCCTTTAAAGAGAGTCATTCAATAATTAATAACTTTGATTATATTCATGATTATATTATTTAAACCATCATCATTTGAATTACCTCAAATATATTTATCACTGTGCCATTTACATCCCATTATCCCTGCCTCACTCTAATCAGGAAAATATTAAAACATTCTAAAATCTGCTTCTTACTTCTCCACTCCATCCGCCAAACGAAGCCTAATCCAAAGAAATCTACATCTTACTTCCGATCAGCACTAAATTCGAGGAGTGAAATACATGTAATATTGTCAATGTGTGAAAGTTTCCCACATTGGAATCGGCCCAGTAGTTTTTGAGTTAAGCGCCTGGAAGGACAACACACCAAAAACAGACACGCGCTATTGCAATAACTTTTCCTCCTCCTTCGGAGGCGAAGGTAATTGTAATGAACACCTTGCTTCTACATCTGTAACAGACAGTACTCTGTATAGGTGATGGTCACTATATAGCTATGGGACTGAGTACTGTAAGTGGCTTCTCACTCGGACATAATTGCAAGATTATATATACTTTATTTATGGCAACTGACTTATTGTCTATCACTGCCTCACACCATGCTCACGTTTTGCATCACTCCACATCTTTAAACCTTTTTTTGTGTTTTGCAGTGGACATCTCCCTACATTATCAATTTCTGCCTATATTATTCCTGAGACAACTATACCCATACTTTTTCTTACATTCCCTGCATATCTCTGAGACCCCCAACATAATCCCCATTATCTCAGAGCTTTGCATTTATTGCCATGTTCCTTTAAATTAATACATATCTATACTTTGTCACACCTCCCATATTACTGCAGATCTAAACATCACATGTTACTACATCATCACAGCCTGACATCATCAGCAAATTCTTATTTTGTTTATCATATTTTTATTTCATCGTTCATTGAATAACAATGACCACTAAGTATTTTAAATATACTTTTCCTTGCCATTGTAACTCAATCCATGTTTTCTATGATAATTCAAAAATATTCTTCTTCGTGATGAATTTCCAATTTGGTGAGGATATTGGCTTAATCCTGCAGATACACAAATTGTTGTGCTTTGTACATTATCTTATCACATGTTTTTGTTACTATAAACAATATTTGATATACAGTCATTTGAAATATTCCATTATAATAATACACAAATATTTTTAATATTTATATACCAAAAAGCAAAAGAATAAAAGCAAGAGAATGATAATTGTTATTGTTTCATTCAATTCTAGATCTAAAAAACGAACCATACAGGCGTGCTGATGCTGTGCGACGCAGCTTGAGAAGAAAACAAGAGAACCAATTCCGCGCCAGCATCCTCTCGGACGAAATGGTTATATGAGAGTTGGTAGTATAACCATGTCGTTGAAAGACAGCACATCGCATCATTATGAAGATATGCAGGTTCGGTCTGTCTGTAGTGGTAATACAATTTTTAACTTGTACAAAAACCAGTACAAAAATATTTAAACCTTCAGACAACCTTGAGTTATATAATGTTTACTTCTTTTTGCTTTGTATATGATATTGTTTCCGTTGTTACTGTTGAAGTGTATTATTAAAGAATTGAACTCCAACATTGCGGTGTTTCCAAAAAAGATTTGTGCATCTAGAATTCCAAATAAGAAATTTATGCTAATTAAATTAATTTTAATTCATAAATTAATTGTTCAAATTGGCGAAGTCTAAACTGTAAATTGTTAATTATTTTTTAACTGATAACACTTCTTTTATACCGTGTACAAATGTACATAAATATATAAATATAATATTTAGTGCATTTTATTATGTAAACATGATACTTGAATTATTATGCTAATAATATATTTCTGAACAATACAAAAACAATATTTGTAAACTGAGATATAATTAAATCGGTTTTTTTTTACTATTTGTGAACAATATTTTGCAACTGGAATTAATGAGCTCTTACAAACTAGAGAGAGAGAGAGAGAGAAAAAAAAACAAATAATTTACCAAAAAGAACTTATAGGCAACAAAGTAACATGGTATTTTTAACAAACTATTTAACATTTTGTATGCTCTAAAATTTCGATTTTTTGTTCCTTTGAACAAAAAAAATTACTGTATTTTTAATTATTAAATCTTGAGAATGTTTCTACAGTAGAATTCCTAAACAATAGCATTACAATAGCAGACAGATTGGTAATTTTTCTGTAATCCTTTATGAATATTGCAAAAGGATATAGACAAAGAAATGGAGTTTGTAAGAGATTTATAAACAGTTATTAATTTACTATCAATTTACACCGTATACCACAGGTGGGCGAATAGAAATTAAAACCCTATATGTGCGGCATGCCGATCGACATTGGCTAGAAAACACCTTGTTTTTTACGGCCCGACACCGATCATATGTAAAAAGTAACATTAAAATTCAGAATAAAGTGGTGTAAATGCAGTGCTCAGAGGTTTTTGAAGCTCACTGGAAACATCAAAGTTTAGGTACGGCCCTCTGTGTTAAATCGAAAATTCACTTTGGCCCTCCAACCGATTTTTATGCCCACCCCTGCCCTATAATACATTAAGCACCCTTCCAAGCCCTACCTTCCCCTTCCTAACACCATCCCCAATTAGATTTTTTTTTAATTCTTGACTGGCACTTGTATCTTTAAGTTGTAAATGGAAAATCTTTATCAACTTAAAATTACATTTCTGGCTGGCTTCCGTGAAAGAGTGATAACAAAATGCATTCATTGAAAACCAAAGATATCACAGGCAAATTACTTTGTTTTGAATTTGTGATGAAATTAGAGTGTTTATGATTGTAACTAATTTATACAAAAGCAGATGTTGATTGTACATATACCTTTCTATTCCTTCTTACAACACAGTTGAGATAGGTTAACTTGGATAATGTATGCAAACTTCTAATAAAATGTAGGCCTACTTTTAAAAAAAGCAGTGGCTGTTAACCAGTCTTAAACAAATTCCTAAATCTGATTAGATTTTACTGTCCTAATCTAATAAATATAATGTGTATAGAATTAAGAATTGGTATTGTATGACTGGTGTAACAATATCCACTGCCTTAAATACACCAGATACATATCTTTTCTTTTACACTCCCTTAAAATCACCAGATTCATATCTTTTCTTAACTGCTAGTGCTTGTTGTGCAAACTTGTTTGCCAGTATTTTTTAATTCACAATTCGAAAAGGTGCGAGAATACTAGCAGTGCCCTACTTATAAATACCCTATACACATAGATTACAACCAAAGATCTTAGAATTAAAAGATAGTGTTCTCCGCGAACTATACACATAGATTACAACCAAAGATCTTAGAATTAAAAGATAGTGTTCTCCTCGATTTCTGCGTGCAAATTCTGTAATAATGCAGTGTAGGGCATCCTCTAACAATTACAATTACTTTTGACATCTATGATCTACTTTCAATTTCTGGAACAACAACCATAGTAACAACTAGGACGCCCTCTCTCAATTACTTCGTATTGCATTTTACTGAACATCGACGCTTCTATTTGTTTACGTGTAGATTCGCGAAGAGTCCTATCTTGTTATTATAAGATCTTTGATTGCAACTGAATTGCATACACTGTACATGAACACTGGTTTGTTATCAACCTGTTACCTGTCGGTGCCATCTGCTGTCAGCAGTTCAACAACCATGGATCTCCATCCCTCTCGATATTCAGCTCTTCTCACGCATTCTCTATACTTCATATCTCGTTATCCCTTGACACTGTTTTATATAGCTAAGATGGTGTTGTAATTGCTTTTTTATATCATGAAACTTGTAAAGCCCTGATTGGTTGTACTGAGATACAGAATCCTGTCCCCAGTCACTTGGCGTGGTGTCAGTAACTTTTTGACAGAGTTTACATTAAGATAGTCCTTGTTGGTGCTACTGACCTTCAAGATCCAGTCCATCGTCACTTCCAAACAAACACAACTTGGGGTATAGGATAATCAGTACATTGATTTTATTAATACGTGATCATGTATGTACAGGCATAAACAATTTTTGTTGCAAACTCGAAATTGTAATCATATCATTTAAAGTCGGGCTCCAGAGGAATCCATATTTTTGATAGTTTGTACAACTGATTTTCTAAGACACAAAAAGCATATTTGACGAAAAACTCGGAAGGGGCTAACAGATTATTAAATATTCAAGAATGGGGGGGGGTGTTAAAAGTGCAACCACCTCCCTCATCAGTTTTTAGATGTTCAAAAATCTGTATCTCTTTGGCCACTCTTGAGTTTTTTGGTGAAATATACTTTTTGTGTCTTACAAAAATCAATCAAAATTTTTCTTCCGGAGTATGACTTTAATATTTCCAGTAGATTTTCATTTTCTTAGCTCATGACAATCAGAAATACATACATGGTGGAGGGATCTTTGATAATCTTATGAATTGCTTTGTCTTTTTTTAACACAATTAACTTTTCATCAATGTTGTAGATTACTATTATATATGGTTTTAATAAGTTAATAATTATTCCTTTATTTTACTACTTAATTCATAGTTACTGATTAAAGTTGTTTTTATTATGATTATTATGATAACTATTGCTCTAGTAAAAGGGTTCATTCAGTTTTGTTTTTAATATATTGTTAATGAGTATTTTTATATTTGATAACCAAAATATATTATAGCATACTGTAAAACAGTCTTTGCAATTAACTTAACAGTAAAGGAAAATTTATGTTTACGTGGGTTCATTTTACAAATACTAAACATAACTCTGGTAGTGCAAGCTTCTAGCTAGCAAGTGGGGTTAATGGGGGGGGGAGAAGAAATAATTTCAATTTTATTGAAGGGAATAAAAAGGCACTAGATTTTTCAACATAATTAATATCTTACAGACATACAAAGTACTAATCAGTTTCTCAATTTTATCCACTTTCCAATTCAGAAATGCTGATTTGTTAGTAATTTTTCAAATTATAGTATAATTTTTGAAGTATAATTGCTGTTTTCAACTTGTTTTAAGGTAAAGCAGTATTTACACACACACACATATCTATCTATCTATCTATCTATCTATCTATCTATCTATCTATCTATCTATCTATCTATCTATCTATCTATCTATCTATCTATCTATCTATTTATCTATCTACCTATCTATCTATCTATCTATCTATCATATATATATATATATATTATATATATATGTGTATGTATGTACATGGATATTTTTTAATGTATTGTTATTGTTAATAAAGTATGTTTAATAATTGCTATGAATTTATTATACAGATATTTTATGTAGTAAGTTTTTCCACATATTTTGAGTCATGTTTACGATGAATATACAAAATATTGCATAGGTTTTTATCTTTATTTTGTAAATAAATTTTATTTTTAACAAAAACTGAAGTGAATCTAAGTTGCAATTTTCTAGTACTGTACATGGATACAATATGAAATAATCCAATCCACCAACACAAACTTCAACAACTTACATGACACATTAATTCAGTGTCTCAATGCACCAATTTGAGGGAGTGCTGAGCAAAAACAAAGTAATAAAGATGGAAAATGATATACAAAGAGAAAAAGAAGATAACAGAAAACAAATGGTTACTATGGTAATATTACCAAAACCTTCACTTTCTCATTGGGAACTTCCTCACTAAAGATTTCATCCTGGCTTGTTATTCTATTTTGTTCAGATTTAGGCACTATTGTCAAACAGTGATTTTATCACTCTTCAATTCTATGTTTATTTGGCCAGCAGGGGTGGCGCAAGGATTTGCCCGACGGTGAGGGGGGGGGCGAGGTCCCCGACGAGAGGGCCGATGCCCCGACGAGGGGTCAGATTTCCCCGACGAAAGCAAAGTGGGCTTGGTCAAGCCTCGATTAAAAGGTTCCCAAAGTGGTTCTGTGGGAGGGGCAAGCCCTCAAAAATTTTGAAAATTTAGGGGTTTTAAAGGCTTATTAAATCGATATTAGAGCTGTCTCTTATACACATCTAGATGTGTATAAGAGACAGGTGTGTATACATACATAAAAAAATGAGTAGTTGCATACAATTTTTCCATGAATCCATAAATCCGAAAAAGAAAGGGGGGTCCGGGGGTTCACCCCTAGGAACATTTTGATTCTCAGAAGGCGGGAAATGAGTTTTCACTTTCTGAGGTGTCTTTTAATTACTTTTAAATTCTTTTCCCCTCTTTAAAAACGGTCAGGTAAATGTATCGCATTGTTATTACAGTAAGATGTGTATAAGAGACAGTATTTTGAGTCATGTTTACGATGAATATACAAAATATTGCATAGGTTTTTATCTTTATTTTGTAAATAAATTTTATTTTTAACAAAAACTGAAGTGAATCTAAGTTGCAATTTTCTAGTACTGTACATGGATACAATATGAAATAATCCAATCCACCAACACAAACTTCAACAACTTACATGACACATTAATTCAGTGTCTCAATGCACCAATTTGAGGGAGTGCTGAGCAAAAACAAAGTAATAAAGATTGAAAATGATATACAAAGAGAAAAAGAAGATAACAGAAAACAATAAACAGAAGTTAGAGACATACTACTATGGTAATATTACCAAAGCCTTCACTTTCTCATTGGGAACTTCCTCACTAAAGATTTCATCCTGGCTTGTTATTCTATTTTGTTCAGATTTAGGCACTATTGTCAAACAGTGGTTTTATCACTCTTCAAAGTAACAATCCTTTCACATGACAAACATACATGATAGTGCAGGGGCTTATGTAATTCATGTTAGTTTATGGCAACAACATTTTTTCGACTCAGAGTTTTATATACTGAACAAGAAAAATGTTGGTGCCAATTTTTTTTTTTTGCGTGCGTTAAGTGGTAGCTATCTTGAAAAACAAGATGACGGACGTAACTCGTCAAATATACGTATGTGGTATCATTGGAAAGGAAATCATGCATTGATTATTATTTTTTCTCATTACACTAAACATAAACAAATGCATAGTTACTGTACGGAGTTATTCGCTATTTAACACGTTGTCTGCTGCCCTCTATTGGTTTTTCATTCCTGATGATGACACAATTAATGTCGAAATATTGAATCCCGACACGATGGCGTGCATTTCGATACTTGGAGTATGTATTATACTATCTTCTCTCTTGGTAAAATGTGCATTATCATTGCACTTGGTCTACTTTTTGCTGTTTTTTTCAGTTCCAATACCAAAAATTTAAGCCAAAACAAAATACTTAGCAGCATTAAGGCGACATGAAAATTGCTTGATATTGAGAAGTGAGCAATGATAATATAAAATCAAACGCTACGTAAATTTTGCCTAGTTACGTACGTATGGAAATAAAAATGCTACAGAAATTTATCGTAGGTCTAGACCCATAAATAAATGGGTCCAGAACAAATGACTTTTCCATCAGGATATTTGGTTACATTGTCACTAACTCATACTAATTTTGGTCGGATTACTTATAAATTATTGCGAAAACCGGGAAATTCGCCAGTAATTCTTCATCCTGTCTCGTTTGTTTGAAATTCCACATCTATGATTATCCTGTACTGTAATTAAGGCAATCCGAATTTCCACCATCAAAACAAATTATTAGGTGCTACTGAAATTTTGTAGGCCTATTTGCTACGGATATTTGATATTAATAGCTGGATTGCTCATAGGCCAATTATTGTACAGAAGAAAGCCTAGACAAGTCATTGTTTGCATTTGTTTAAATTATTGTTAGCATTAACGATTTTTGCCATACTTATTCATAAAAATATATATATATATATATTTTATGAAATGTTTTTTGCACATCCTCTAACTACTCGGTGCGCCCGTTTCTGCAGTTTTCAAAAGCGCTACCGTCGTATGTCAAATTGTTGGTGGTTCTAAAGTTTTGCTTTGTGATGAAATATTTGTGACATTTTGGGCTCCCCAAAATGTGGAGCCCAAACCACTAAAACTTCACTACCACTTCACTAAAACCAGCCAATGAGCAATCCAGCTATCATAATAGAGATTAATGGCTTGGATCAGAACGCTGGTGTAATCCCCATTTCTCTTAAAGGAATTCCTGGGTTCTTTATCGTGCACACTATTTTGTGTTCACAGGGCTTACGGTTATTGTCATTATCCAAGAAGACTTGGCAATGTACCACCAGAACCATGACCGAGGAGGGTCTTGAAACAGCGCCCATGTAGTAGTTAGATTTATATAATAGCCCTTTATATGCGGCATGGACTAAACTTCCTTATCCTGTAAGGGTCACAGAGTCCCAAATAGACTTGTTCCACCACTGGGGCGGATGCCGAGAAAAATTTGGGTAGTGCCATGTGACGTGCGTATAAATGCTTGACCACAGACACTAATGGTACATGAAATTCAAACCAACGTTTGCTTGTTTTGATGTACCTTCGACCCATTTCTCTCCTTCCTTTTCCATGATTTGCTGCCCCTGCAGGGCCGGCGGAACGTTTTTCAAAGTGGGGGGGGGGGGCCCACTTATAAGATGAATGGGAATATGAATCATGCAGATCTGGAAAAACCTAGGGGATGGGGGTCAACATTTTTCCCAGAAAGGAAAGGGGATCCGGGGGTCCTCCCCCGGAAAAATTTTGAATCCTAGATGGCGGGAAATGAGTTTTTCAGACTTCTGAGGTGTCCTAATTACTTTTAAGTTCTTCAAATTTCAAGGTTTTCCCCTCTTGAAAACGGTCAGGTAATTGTTTCCCATTGTTATTACAGGAAATAGACCTTATGTGTGTATACATAGGCCTACATAAAAATAAAAAAATAGTAGTTGCATACGTATTCTTTTTTTAATGAATCGATAAGCTTCAAAGAAAAAGGGGTCCTCCCCCGGGAAAAAATTTGATATCTAGAAGGCGGGAAATGAGTTTTCCCGACTTCTGAGGTGTCTTAATTATTTTTAAGTTCTTCAAAATTCAAGGTTTTCCCCTCTTGAAAACAGTCAGTTAAATTTATCCCTGTTATTACAGTAGATAGGCCTTATGTGTGTATACATACATAACAAAATTAAGTAGTTGCATACGATTTTTTTTTCCATTAATCCATAAATCCCAAAAAGAAAGGTGGGTCCGGGGGTTCTCCCCCCCCCCTCCCCCCTCCCTGAATATTTTGATTCCTAGAAGGCGGGAAATGAGTTTTCCCGACTTCTGAGGTGTCTTTTAATTACTTTTAAGTTCTTTAAAATTGAAAACAGTCAAGTAAATTTATCCCTGTTATTACAGTAGATAGGCCTTATGTGTGTATACATACATAAAAAAATGAGTAGTTGCATACAATTTTTCCATGAATCCATAAATCCGAAAAAGAAAGGGGGGTCCGGGGGTTCACCCCTAGGAACATTTTGATTCTCAGAAGGCGGGAAATGAGTTTTCACTTTCTGAGGTGTCTTTTAATTACTTTTAAATTCTTTTCCCCTCTTTAAAAACGGTCAGGTAAATGTATCGCATTGTTATTACAGTAGATAGACCTTATGTGTATATACATACATAAAAAAAAAATTACTAGTTTTATACGATTTTTTCCATGAATCCACAAATCGCAAAAAGAAAGGGGGGTTCGGGGGTTCTCCCCCGGGAAAATTTTGATTCTTAGAAGGCGGGAAATGAGTTTTCCCGACTTCTGAGGTGTTTTTTAATTACTTTTAAGTTCTTTAAAATTCAAGGGTTTTCCCTCTTAAAAACGGTCAGGTAAATTTATCCCTTTGTTATTACAGTAGATAGGCCTTATGTGTGTATACGTTCATTAAAAAAATTGAGTAGTTGCATACGATTTTTTCCATGAATCCATAAATCCCAAAAAGGAAGGGGGGATCCGGGGGTTTTTTCCCGTGAAAATTTTGATTCCTAGAAGGCGGGAAATGAGTTTTCCCGACTTCTGAGTCTTTTAATTACTTTTAAGTTCTTCAAAATTCAAGGTTTTCCCCTCTTGAAAATTATTTTAATGAATCAATAAACCCAAAGAGAAAAGGGAGGTTCGGGTTCTTCCCGGGAAAATGTTAATTTCTAAATGGTGGGAATTGAGCTTTCCCGACTTCTGAAGTATCTTCTGGCGATTTTAATCTAAGTTCTTCAAAATTCAAGGCTTCCTCTCTTGAAAACCGTCAGGTAATTTTTTCCCAAAATCCCAAAAAGAAAGGGGGTCGGGGGTTCTCCTCCGGGAAAATTTTGATTCCTAGAAGCGGGAAATGAGCTTTCCTGACTTCTGAGGTGTCTTTTAATTACTTCTAATTTCTTCAAAAATCAAGGTTTTCCTCCTCTTGAAAATGATTCAATAGAACCCATGAACCCTATAGAAAAAATGAGTCCGGGTTCCCCCGGGAAAATTTCGATTTCTAGAATGCGGAAAATGACCTTCCCTGACTTCT